GGTGCCCGGGGCCGGCGCACTGGGTGTCCGGACCGCCCGGATGCAAAAGGTGAGGCGAAGGCAGCCCTGCCGCGGCGGGAGGGTCTCTGGGGGACGCCGCGGTTAGAGCTGCCGCGCTCGCGGGAGGGAGTGTGTGGCGGAACCTCCCTAGCGTGAAATCGGGGCGTTTGTGGGGGACTGGTTCTGGCAGCGCACGCTGGAGGGCACAGAGACGAGTTCTCCCTAGTAGTCGTTTATTTCAGGTTATTTTTATTAGAAAGTTGTTTCAGATTCAGGACAGAAAAGCTGATGAAACGCCACTTCAGAACGCATTAGACTAAAGGGAAGTGAAAGCTGATTTCAGCAACAGAATAAGTTTTCTTTTTTTTTTTCTCTCAAAGAAAGCTGCCATAGAGGTAATTCTGCTACAGACTTTGCAGCATAAACCGGTATGCCAGTTCCGTCCAAAATCAGAATTTGTGCTATAGAAACAAATATGTTATATTGGAAGTGGTTTGTGCTTTGGAGAACCTAGTGGCTGGAGCACCAATAGAGAGGAAGAAGTTGGATTGAAAACTTTTATTTATGTACATTTTCTATGAACAGCATCTGATGCTGTTAATCAGTAGCCTCCAAAGGCTGTAGAATATAGCATTTGAAGGCTTAAGATAACTCAATTTATTTTTCAATATATAAGAAATATATTTTGCTATAAAACTATCACTTTCAGTATGAAGAAAAGTGAAACACGAATCTTCATTGTAGGGATGTTACAGGGCTGTGCTTCATCAGCTCCTGTGCAATCTCTGCAAGATACCAAAACTGGCTGAGGTTTTCCTGTAACAAATGAAGCTCCCACTAAAGTCAGTGACAGAAAAATTAGACAAGGGAAATGTGAATAATGATGTTTAGAGATATAATAAGGGCATCAACAATTTACATCTTTATGCTTTAGAACAAACCGTTTGACAGGAGAAGAATAAAATATGTGTGATGTGGTTTCAGAATTAGTACTTGGAAGGATTTGATCTTGTCATTTTCCTCTGAAACAGGTACCAGGAACAGGCCTAAATGGGTACTTCTGCTGACTTATATGGCAGTTACTGTGTATCTGGTGCATACAAGCATTAGAGTTTGTTAATTAAATCCTGGCATGCAACTCTGGAGCATGAACTGTATTTGAGGAAGTTTAGATGCTGGTTTGGATTTAGTTACCTTTGAAAAGCTTTCTTATTGAAGACATATGGTGTAGTTGCTTGGAAATGATATTGTACTGCCGACAAAGATCTCAAAGATTTTGCACTTTCAAGAGCTGAAATGAAAGAGCAGCAGCACAATAAACTGTGGGCACTATATATCCAGTTTTGATAGCCATAACCCCACCTGTGACATCTGAGCATTTAAAAAGGGCTGTTCAAGCTAGTTAATGGAAATTGGAGTTGTTAACTAGCTACGATCTAAAAGCAACAGGAAAGAATTCTTACAGCTTTGACAGGGAAAGGACAGCTGTATTTTCTGTCCCTTAATAAGTTAAAAAAGACTTTTGGTTACTAAGATGCAGAGAAAACTGCAAATATATTATGCACCTGACAACAGCAGGAAACAACAGAGGCTATCTGGATTCTGTTAAAGGCACTAGTAGATGCATAACAGCTTAACTTATACCAATAACTTAGAGAACTAAACCAGTAACTGGTATTATGCTGTTCCTGATATGCAGTGCAAGTATCCCGTATACCTAAATAGCAGTAAACCCTAGAGTATAAGCAGTAATTATGCTCAGAAAAACAAATGCTTCAGAAAAACGGAATTTCTTCCTGTTCAGAGGAAGAAAAAAAACAACCCACAAACACAAAACACTTCAGCAGAAAGTTAGGTTGTTCAAGTCTGAATTTATAGAAGGTTTCTTTGTACCACTCTTCCCTGTTTTCATAAGGCACTTCGATGTTTTTGTACTTCTGGGGGAGTTGGGGGGCTGGGGAAGCAACAGAAGTTTCTGCAAGCTGCCTTTTTACTCAGTGCATCTCAAAAGCAGGAGTGGGCATCTTCCAACTTACTCAAGAAACAGTGAACGAAGTAAACTCTGTTCCTATCATTACATTCTGGTGCTACAAATTTGAGGAATTAAAACCAATTATATGCACATGTGTTTAAAATAAATAAAATACTGTCATTATGAGGGGGAGCGTAACAGAAGGAAATAGCTTTATTTGCAATAAATTTCTATCCCTGTGCAATAATCTTGGAACCTGAACCACTGGCTTCCCTATCATGATATTTTTACTTGGTTTTCCTGGAAAGCTGTCTTGCTCTGAATGGCAAAAATGACACTATACACAGGTTTCTTCTTTCTGTCAGTATTACGTTGGGAGAAAACACCCTGGTTTTACACTATCCCATTATCTATTTAGAGGAGAACCAGTTGTAGGGACAGTCTCAAGTGTACTTGGGATCCAGGAAATTGCTTTGGCTATGTCAGTTGTCCGCTGTGAGAAACTTACTTTCTTAGTTTCAGCTTGGGACCCTCATGGATTTGCTGCCAGTGTCATTCTCCCAGTTGAGCCTTTCTTAGGAGCAGACAGCAGATCGGGGCCCTATTTCCTGGTCTGATGCTTGCAGAATAAGGTCCCAGGCCCTACTTTTACATGGCATCCATAGCTAATCAGCTGTGAACAGAGTGATACAAGCCTAACTCTTTTTTTGGCATACAATACAATGTCTCCCTGTCAGCTGGGTACCTGAAGCTAGGCCCAGAAACTGCTCAGTTGGCAGTGCCTGCTGCATACCCGGCATTTAGTGCACAGCTGTCTGTGTCACAGTTTGTGGTTGAACAATTTGAAAAGAGATCTATGTAAAAGACAGCAAGATGTGGCAATTAAATTGGATACATGGAACAGCAATATTATTTCCAATCCTGAAGTAACAGAAAAGCGATGGGAGTTTGAGTTTCTTTGGGAAATGAGAGATAAATGTCACGAGGAATGTATATTCCACACAAACGTGCGCTAGAATGAAATCCCATTTCTTTCCATCATGTTTCAGTGGAATAAAGACCCCATGACTTGTAAATGCCAAGTCCTGTTAGACACCATGGACCATATTAATGAGATATGTAGTTTAGCTGAACTTTTCCCCATCACATATGGAACAACTGCATCAGAAATCTGACTAGTGATCATCAGAGAGACAGAGCTGCTATGTGGATATTGTTAGCAAAAAGCTGTTCTCTGAAATGGTGAATTATTTCGAGTAAGCCAAAAATTAAAGAGATTCTGAGCCTTTGATGTAATTTATTTTCCCCTTCTGGGGACAACCTTTCTCCCTTCTAGGCTGTTTTAAAAGGAACATTCTCTTACGAATAAATATGACAAATAGAAAAATAAAAATATAGAAACAAACTATGTAAACGCAAGCCCTGAGGTATTTCAAGCACACAGTGTAATTTTTATACCTGACATGCAATCTAAAGGTTCCAGTAAGAAAATTTACTTTATGGCTCTGTAAAAATGTCCCATCTTTCTTTCCTGCCTTACACCCACAAGAAAGGGTGAGAGGTTGAGGTAAGAGCCCCATGGAAGCTGTGATAGTCACAGAAGCAGAAACAGAGGATATTAAAGTGCTGCGTGTCTTTCCCTGACCATTTTCACTCTTCGGTTGGCTTCCACAGGCCAATTAGATTCTACAGAGTATCTGACAAAGCTGCTGCTTTTCTGGATATAGGCTCCACTCCTGCACCAGCATATATACCATAGAGAGTCTTGCAGGATAAAGGAACTTCTGAATAAAGATTTTAGTGGCCCCTTTAACTCATAGATTTTGTGTGTGTGTGTCTGTGCATTTCAGGCTAGCTTGGGAAGCTTAAGCACACTTTGCACTGCAATTGCTCCCAAATGACTGCATTATCTTGCTAGCTTCCCACTTCTCTCCCCCTCTTCCTTTAGCCTGGATCTCCTTGGACATGTTTCCTCCCCCAGATCTTTCTGCATTTGCACGAAGGGTCCAGTACTAAAAAAAAAAAAAAAAAAAAAAAATCCAGTCTCTGCAGGACAGTGAAGTCAAAGGGTCTACTCACATGAATTAGTTTGCTGGAGCAGGCCCTTAGGCGTTAAATTTTTTTTAATAAAGTCCAATTTTATTAATTGTACTCTGTTTGGGCTTTGGAGAGAACAGTTACAAAATGGATCATAGGTCTTACTTTTTAAAATGGCATTTGTTCCTCTGCTAATTCTTGGCAAACAGGGGCTCAATACGAAAGGGTTTCAAGCACTGTATACCTATTGGTGTGTGTACACTCTTGCATAGTGAGACTCTGAAAGAATATGCATGCAAACATGCACACACAACATATTCCATTTGCACATACTTACCTAAACAAGGTACTGCATATACATGTACCTGCTCATGTGCATATATATTTGTAAGGAGAGATATGCATGTGCTTACACAATATCTATAGATGTGTAAACTCTTACTTGCACAGATACAAACATTAAAAATCAAATTAGTCTTAAATACACCTTTGCTTTTTTCATTAAAAAGGACATTTTAAAACCCTTTTTTGTTCACTTTGGTTTTACTGTCACTAATACAGTTCACCTGCTCACCTAATGGGATATTTTCCTCTCAGTATGTTAAAACACTAATTAAAATGCATTACAATTATTAAATTGGGTAGAAGAGCACTTCTTGTAAAGCTTAGTCTGGAACTCCTGGGACATAGTTGTGCAGTGAAAGTTTTAGATCATGTCTCTTGTGTTACGGATCACACAGCACAGAACCATGCTGAATATCATGCCAAAGATCTAGAAGAGAAGGATGCAATTTAAGGATCCACTTACAAAACAGTTATAAAATAGTCTGCATATCAGAACAATCTGAAGGTTCTTATGGCAGAGTAGCAAGTGACTGCTTCTAAATACAAACCCCGAGACATCAGACAATTAAGATAAAAGAGATTTCACTGATACTCAAAGCCAAGATTTTATCTGCTCACACTAGTTTCACTGTTCTTTGTTCTAAATGTTCAGGCCAGCATAACAGCCCCAAACATTAATATTATTGACATAAATTTCACTGACATCAATAACTGTGACTGTTGGTATTATGCCTAGTATTGCACCAAAAGGTTCTGAGTTTCAGAATGCTTCTACGTGGAATATTGTATACACATTTGAATGAGAGAAGAGAAACTGGTGCTGAGCATTGCGGTTTTACAGAGAAAGCTAAGCTCTTAACAGTTACTACTCAAGACCAAGACTATACATTAAATATAAAACTCTATTCGTGTTAGGGAACTAGTTAACTAGAGGGAATGTTAAAAGCAGAGAACAGTGGGTGTTGCGAGTCTCCAGAAATTTCTTTTTTGCCACAGATTGATTCTCCAAAGCAGTTAGCAGCTACCTCCTGACGCTTCATTGCTGATGATGGGAGATGAGCAATACTATCAGGCCGTTAAATGACTGAGTTGATATCCCCTCCCCACACACCTCCCTAAGGAAGGAGACAGCTGACTAGTCATACCCCATGAAGTGTCAGAAACAAGCACAGAAAAACGTACAGACATGTTTCTGCTGCTAAAGAGGTTATCATTCAATAACTTCTGCTGTATCTGAGGTGGGAAGCCATAGAAGAGATGTTCATATTTCTAGTGTATCCTTGTTGAGCAATGAGGTTATTGGAACTCTGTCCCACCCATGCTGCTTTGCTGTATTTTTGAGTACACCTTCATGTTTTATACAAATCACAGGATTGTTTAATCCCCTTTACCCACACCACGGTTTCTATTACATGTATAAACTCTTCATCTGCTTTTAAGTGTCCACATAAGTCCACGAACCTCCTGCTCTTCAGAGCAGCTAAAGGTATATGTCTTTACTAATATTCTGGCTCCTCATGCTGCTGGTTTCTGAGCCTGAAGGAAGTTCATGGCACACGCATGCTGGAAAATGCTTTCTGTTAAAGCCTGTGTTTGATACACACTGCCCACTCCTGCCATATCCTTGCAGCAGGGTGACATCTATTGGTCACAGCTCTGTCATGAAGGAGCAGACCTTGGGAATACAATACACACTTGTGGGAGGTGGACTGTAAGGAAAGTTACCGACACTTTGATGACACAATTTGATGAAAGAGCTGTCTGTAACTAGGTGCTACGCGTTTAGGAAAGAAATGTTGTTCTGAAAACTATGCAGTTTAAATCCTGTTCCTTTAACAAAATACATACTGATCACTGGATCTATGACCTAGAAAATCTGTTTATAAACTATCCTTCACATTGAACCAATGCTACAGCCAGCATTTTTCTGGAAAGCCATTTCTATACAAAGGGTAGGTATTCTGTATTCCTTATGAAATCTAAGGAATGGATCATCAAAGGGCCTAAAGCATCAGTCTGAAGTTGTTTTAGAATAGATTAAATGCTGCTACGGCCTTTTGCTTTTCAGTTTAGTTCATGTGCCTTCCACTTTCCTGCTATGACAGCAAAATAAGATTACCATTAGATACTTTGGACCCTGTCTAAGGACACAGAATGAACTGGTAAAACAAAGTCACGCAAGTCTGCTTGCACTGATGTGGGCAATTCCCAGAGAGAGGACACACTGAAAGTGGTAAGAATAGCTGCACCTTTGAGGAATCTCACCAGTTGCTGCAAAACACCTCCTACAAAGCTTTGAGTGAGGGGCAGGGTACTGGGCTCAAATATAGGTTTGAGAGTAAGAACATGGATTTACTCACTGTGATGCCAGCAATTGCAATTCCAACAATTCCAACTAAATGCAGATTAGCATCAATTACATTCTGGATTTCAACCAGGCAGTTCTATTAAGAACAAAATTGAAAGATTTTTACTCCTAGAAAAATATACTCCAACCAACTCCATCAGCTGTTCTCACTAAACAACAGATAAACATAAAAAATATTATTGCAGTCACTGTCCTAATTCTTGCATCTATGCCTTGTGTTTTGTTGGACAATTTTCACAGCATATTCCCTTTTCTAGTGAGACATCTGTACCTCTTGCCTGTACAGGCTGACACATACAAGTAATTTTCGTACAATCAGTTTTCCCTAAATTTAAAACCCTTTATATGAGAGGCCATGCTAAATCAGGAAGTTTGGCCCTTCAGATTGACACTGTACTCACCAGCAGATTCCACAAAAGACAGAAATAACAGTATCCTTCTTAACACCAACAACGCTTCTAGTGAGGAGTCTCCATGCATGATTAAGGCAGGCACTTGCCAAAATTCAGCCTGCACAGGGCTTTTCATTTAGGACTCCCATTCTGCTACATCCTTCCCACTTTTCTTTTCAGATGATGTAATATTGTCTCAGCTACCATGGGATGCTACAAGCAGGCTTCAGAAATGAGGGCTGGGCATGTTCAATATGACCTCCAACTTACTTCTGCTTCCACTCTGCTCCATTTCATATGGAATTTCATGCTGGAATTTGCAAGGTAAAAAGGAAGATCTTCCTTTCTTTTACTTACAGAAGGTCTCCAATTTTACTAAACAATTGACATGAAAAAGTGATTAGAACAACCAGAACAGAGGACACTTGCCTTTGGCATCTGGATATTCTCTGGACAGGGTAATCCCATTTGTTGTTCCATATTATCTTTACCACAGCATTGGAGCTAAATGAGAGAGAGAGAGAGATATGAAGAATCAAAGAAGGGGAAACCATAGACTTGTTTCATACTGAAAGTGAGTTACTACTTTCATACTGAAAGTGAGACAATAAGTAACTAAAAAAAAGAAACAATACAGATCAAGTCATAAATTTATTGCCTATATTAACTGCCACCTCTGGTAGAGTTCCAACTGCGTGGGCCAAAATTCTCAAAAATCAGTTTCAATTGTCTGAAGCCATAGCAAAGAGACAAATTTGTATTACAACTCCTAGAAGGGATTTTTATCACAGTATCTCATAACAAGGCAAACAAGTGGATTTTGGAAAAGCAGATCCCTGGCTTACAAGGAAACAGGAGTTGTTAAAGGGAGAAAGCAGAAAGTTCAAATAGCGCATACAGAATTATGGGCAATGCACAAAAGCTACAACAGAGAATATTAGAATCTTTATTTCTGACAAAACATAGTGCTGGGTTTGGAGACAGTAATAAATCAGAGTGTTTCAGAGGGTTTGTTTTTCCTGTTTGCCTATCTCCCACAGAATGCTTGGAATTCCTCTTCGGGTCAGAAATAACAGCTATGGGAGAAGGACAAAAGGGTCTGAGGTTGTGAAATGTTTGTTCTAAAGAACGTGGGAATGCTGTAAGGAGCAACAAAGCTTGGGCTTGATCTCTGTGGGAGGCAGTGTAGACAGGATGGACACAAATAGGATTCAGGAAGTCACAGGTTCTAATTCTGATTCAGACACTAACTTTTTGGGTGGCCTGAACTGAGTCACACATGTGCTTTTGGTTCTTTACCTACTTGGTTCAGTCAGTGACAGGATCTGCCACATTGTAGGTCCTGGGACACAGGTCACAATTTTTTCTCTCATAAATGCAGAGAGATTCAGACCTTTTACCTCTCTCTGCATTTGTGAGTATTTATTCTTGGATTTTAATATCCGAAAGGGCCATAATAGTCATATCTTCTGCACAACAAAGACCAGAAGCATCAGCTGAAATTTAAAAGCCTGGCCATTTTCACTTTCAAAGGTAGGGATCACTTTGGATCTGAAAATCAGAATGCTGACAGAGCCATCAGGAAACCAAGTTGTGAGCTTCTGGCTCCATTTTAAGTAACACTCAGTTCTATTCTTTCATACCTCAGTGGGAGGCATTCTGCATTTTAAAGGGTAATGTGACAGTAGAGTAGTAGTGCAAGGTATTAAAGCTCAGGAGGACTACTCACAGCCAAGTGGTAGTGATAGATAGTCCTGTTGACCTTCCCCCCTGGGTTTTTCATATAGTCATCATAAATGTCTTCATAGATTTTCTGGGCTTCCTGTATTGCCTGCAGGAATCAGAATTTCCAAGTGAGTGGCAAATAAGTCTTACCCCCAGTCCAGTGCAGACTTCCAGCTTGTGTCATCAACCTCCAGAGCAGAAAATTATGCCTGGTAAACTGAGGTACCATGATTGGAAAGATAGGATGTTTTGTGGCCTGATGGCATTCAGAGGGACTCTGCATGGGTCAGAATGTACATATGCTGTATTCTGTGTTTTGGGTTAAACACTGTTAGCTGGAGAAGTTCAATGCTTGAATTTGTTTGCCCTTTTCCCAAGCAATACCCTCTTATCATATAGTTCTACTTGATGTTCCTTGTGGATGTAAGGTTGAACCACACCTACAGGTTTTCTTTAATAGAGGGGGGCAAAAACTGCATCCCATTCTGGACTTGTGATAACGCAAGCTCTCATTGACTCCACATAAGAATGTCAGAGAGTCTTCTGGGAAAAGTCTCCTGGAAAGTTTTCCTATGCAAGAGCCAGACTGTAGGTCAGTCAGCACTGGAATCCATAACTCCCCATTATTACACTAGAAGTTGCTTGCTACTTACCACTTTCTTGCCTATAAAGGCAAACACTCCAGCAGTAACCTCAGCTGCAAATATCACCAACAAGCAAGCAAAGAACTGCAGAGGAAGAATAGAATCTTATATTAATATACCTTGCACAATTCTGTTTTAGACGGACTCCCAGTCAGTCCCTCATCCTTGCCCAGGCCTCAACAGCCCACACAGTAACTGAAAGAAAGCTGGTAAGCAGGGTCCGTAACAAGGGTGTCAAGTCAGATTTCTTGTAATATGGAAACAAAGGTGGAAATGGCAAAGATGTGGCTCAGATGGTAGCTTCAGAAAAGACAGAAGGTAATTCCAGGAAATATATCACATGAGACAAGCAATGGAACTTCTTCATGTATGGAAGCTCTGCAATAGCACAGTGGCTAGAGATGCTAGATTAGCCAGTAAAAGGACATAAGATATTTCAGGTCTTGGACAGCAAAGATCTTTCCACTAATCACACAAAGCATATGCTCTTGAATGATTTTCCTGTGCAGCCCAGGCCCTTGAAACCTTTTACTTACTGCTCCAAGTAAGCACTGAGATTCCCGCGCTGCTCCACAGCACCCAAAAAATCCAACTGTGGTCATGAGAGCCCCTGCTCCCACCAATACATAGAGTCCTATGAAAAATCAGAATCAGACAAGAATTTAAGAAGGTTTCTCTTCGCAGTCTGCTACCTATTTTGTCAAAACCACACATTTCTAAGTAACAATGGTCTCTGGCTCTCACAAAGAACACCTGTTATACAGAAAACTTGCTCGCCACAAAAGGAGACCAGTGATTTCTTCAGAATTCATGGAGAATCTCATGAAAACAAATGAGAAGACTTCCACCTCCCAAGTTTCCTGTCCCAAGGGCAGCTCAGTCCAGGAAGGACATACACCATACCATCCAGAACCACCTTACAACTCTTCAGTGAGGAACGTAAGACAAAAAAAAAAATCCAACATTGCTAGAGGGCTTATTTCTGTGAAACCTGCAGCTGGAAATGTGCTGTACTGCTATGTAGGGGTGGAACTTAAAAAGCTACCTGGCTCTATCAGTTGCCTGGCAGTACATAAAAAAGGACATTTGAAGATCTTCAGGAAAGGTACAGGCACTACGTTGTGATGTTCCTCTAAAATCAATGCTTTGGCTGGGGAAAAAGCTGAATGCTATTGGAAAGAAAAGGATGATTGGGGAACCCCTTGAAAGCTGTTAGAGGAAGTGATTGAAACAATGAATTTGCACCCTCTGGCAAAATAATGAGTGGGAAGAACAGCCTGAGGGAGGTCATAAGCTCAGCAATAGTCCTGAGCTTGGTCACTGCAGAGAACGGAAGCTTGTCTACAGTTCAGTGATTTGGAGCATGGCATCTTTTACAAGAAGTAGCTGCTTTACTGCCTGCTGGGCAGGCGTATTCCAGTGTCCCTACTTTACATTTTTTTTTCCTCCAACATACTGATGCAGGTGTCAGAATATAAGATATCAGCAGCTTTTAAAGGCTAATGTTATCAGTGCATTATGATCAGAAGACTTGGAGAAGAGTTGCCTGAAAATGGATAGAATCACAGAACCACACAAATCACATCAGATACTAAAAAAAGGCGATTCTGTGTGAAAGGCCTAGAGTGTCTAAGACTTAGAGGCCAAGAACCTTGCATGCATGGCCTAAAACAGCATCTCATGATGCATGCTGTCCTCATCTGAACTGTAGGATACCCTCCCACCACCTTATTTCAATAGGCAGAATCAGAGTGGCTCTGCAGCAGCCAGTGGCAACACTGCATTGCCTTCATGTTCTGGACATTCGCAGTTAAGTGTTACGCAGTTACTGAGTTGTTTAGGGGACTGCTCAGACACCTTAGCCAACCTCTTCCTGGGACTGCATTGCTGAATGGACTTGAGGCTACTGGCACAAGGGGTTATCTGTGTATAGACAAATTTAATGACATAAAGAAAGAACAGCAAATAGTGGATCATCAGACTAAACACGTTAGAAGGATAATGAAGCAATCTGGGGATGAGACTGCCAGCAAAGACCAGGCCTGAAACACGTACAGAACATGGGAGATGTCAGTATAGCCCCATGCATAGCTGAAGATGTAGGACCCTAGCTACGTTCAGAACTTGACAGGACAAAACCCGTAAGCAGGTTAGCAGAATAGCATTAACCTCTGCCACCTGTAAAACTGCTAGAAATACTCACATTCAACAGGGGTTTATTTTCTACGGGCTTTATCTAGGACAAAAGGAAACCAGAGCACAGAATTTTTCTTTCCTACTTGTAGACTTACATGCTTGATCTGTGCTTAGGCAATACATCCGTTCATGTGCGGTGTCAGTTCCCATCAGACCACAACAACTGTGTTTGTGCCTTGTCTCTGGCTACCACGTCAGCCAAAGTAAAACAGGCTCAGGGCAGTGCCTTGTAATTCTAGTCTTTGTCTTGTGTGGGCAACGTGGAGGACATGCAGAAATCTGCCATGCCAATCCACTGCTAGAAAAAACAGCTTCATTTCTCTCATGCCGTTACGAGGTGACAGTGGAGCTACAGACTCTGCACACTAGAGGGCACAGTGAGCCTTGCTCCCAGCTTTGACTATGCAAACTTTTAATGAGAACATTTAGTATTCTCAATTACCAATTTAAACATTATTTTAAAATCTGACCCAAATCTTTAGGGTTAACAGAGCTGCTGGCATTTACTAGAGAACCTAGACTAGAAAGCCCTACAAATGACAGTTTGCAATGATTGCTAGGAAAATGAAAAAACAAACAAAACTATCAATATACGAGCGTAGAGCATCTAGCTACTCTGCCACACAGATGCAGCCTGCTTGGAGAAGGCAAACTCCTGCCTGCTGCCCATTCATTGGCACATCACTGTCCAGTCACTGCATATTGGCCAGATATCTATCCCAGCAACTGTGATCCTTCTCCCCTCCATCCTTCTTGCCCCAGTACCTTTCTTGTGCCAAGGATTGCTGCTGAGGAATGCATTCTGCTAAATAGCAATAAAACAATTATAATTAATATGGCTTTGCCAGGTCCGTGATGCCAGATATGTGGGATTTGCTGCTGACTGTGCTGGCAGTTCGTACTCTCTATTTTCTAGATTTTTAATATTCGGCATCTTGTGACTTAACTAGGACTGAGCATTCTTCAAGCTAATACTTGTACACATATTCACAACACAGTGGTTTTTACTGAGGGTGGGATATACAAAGATATATATAGCTCAGGAGAGAAAGGTCAGCCCCCTGTGGAAGATGAATTGGAAAAGAAAAAATCTTCTCAGGTGCAGAACCTGCTGTTCAACTGCCAAACACCAAAACTGCCATTTTCTGAGATCTCCACGGTAACAAACGGAGTGTAATTACAAAGATGTCACTCCCTACTCCAGTGCCTGTAATTACTTATCAGGCAACTTAGCAGAGAGACTTTTTGATTAAGAAGACTGGAAAGAAGTCTTCCCATTTCTTTTTGTTGCTTCCAGCTAGCAAAGACAAAGCTCTCTGCGGCTCAGGGGTGAGACCACTTTCAGGAATTTGGATTTGCTTTTGTCTGAGAAACAGACGTTATAACATTTCACTTGCATGACTCACAGCTAAACCGCTACCTCAATCAGAACTTCCCTTTTAAGGCATCTTACAGGAAGAACTCACACCACTCACTAAACAAAGCTGAGCTTGCTGTGTGTCTGGCACCACAGATGAGCTAGCCAAGAGTTTAAAACCACCTTCTTCCATCTTCTGTTCAGGAGACTTTATTCCAGACTTTGTCCTTTCTCAGCCTGGGACTAGTAGTTGCTGATACTTGGAGAGCTATTTCTAGATGGAAAATAATGACAACACTTTAAAAAAATTCCACAAAACTGAAGATGTTTTTACTTGTCTACTATATATACACACATGTAATCTTTCACACAGGAATGAGACACTTGAAGAGTAGCTTGAAAAAAATTCAAAGAGCCCAGGTTACTTCTCAGCTTGCACTGTGAGGTTTCCTAGCACCCAGATCCAGGTATGCTCAACTGGAAGATGATTTCCAGGAAAGGTATCAAAGCAATAGATTCAGAAACATCCTAGATGGTGTACGTATATAAGACAGGGAGCTAGTATTTCTTTTCCTAGTGGGCTATATGCAGCAATGTAGGCAGGATCACCTCAAATTTTTAATGGGAATTGACCTAAACTGAAAAGCGAGACTCTCTAGAAAGGAAAGAAAAAGAAAAGGGTGACAATGTATGGCACCCCTTAGAATCACAGCCTTACCTAGAGACATCATGCACTGATAGCCATCAAGTTAGTCCAGTTAGGATCAGCAAAGCAGACAAATGCAGAAATTTGGTGGTGTTAATGTCATACATTGCTATGCAATAGTATCATGTGTCAGAAGTAACTAAGCTTCGCTAAAGCCCATTCCTTTCAAAAAAGCAGGATGGTAAGCAAAGCCATAATCAGCTTCTATTCATAAGCGCTTCCATTGTAAAATACAAAGCCTTGGCATGGCCTCCAATTTGGCATCTACAGCACAGCAGAGAAATAAAAAAGAGACTTAGTTTATAGTCACAAAATGGAACACATTTGATAGCTAGAAACTCTGACACAAAAAAGTTCACCACAAAGCTCAGCATGGCAAAAAGAAGTCAAGGTAGAGAGCTTGTTTCGGTGAATGGAAAATTTTGAGAAGACTGTCTAGCTGCAGCTTTTTGTGCAGCAGAAGTAAAAAAGTACAAAGTAGAAAGGAAGCAAATGTTTGTGGCCTGTGTGAAATTTTTCTTCTTGCCTCTGTTCATTTCCTGATTCCTAATTTTGTCACTTTGATCCGTGTCTGCTAATGAAGAGGAGAGAGAGTTTGACAACTAGCTAGTCTCCGAGTTCCTTGGCAGCACACAGCCCACACAGGAGCAGATAACAGATGAAGAGACAATACTGAGAACAGGCACACTGCTATGTCATTAAGGAGGGCAAACACTGGACCTAATGGCAGAAACCTGCCATCTATGTGACTGCCCACAACTCAGGAATATTTATTGCACCTGCATGCAGGACCCACAAAGCAAGTCACTCTCAGCCCCTGAATGCAAACGGATGAAGAGGCACATTCCAAAGAATTAAAAGCCATGTGCAAAATGCAATAGAAAATTGGCTGATCTGAGCAGACACAGCCAGGACACTGATGAACTATGAGGGGTACTGGAGGAAATATGGGCTTCTTTGTAAACACAAGAGGATGAAAAACAAAGTGTCACAGGACTGGGGTTGTTCTGGCCAGAGCCTATTCTCTTGACCTTTTTTGTGGGGAAATATTCAGGTTTCGGGGTGGTGGGGTTTTTTTTGTTTGTTTTAGCTGTGCTAAAACACCCACCCACCCAAATACACAGATTTTTATAAGCTGTGAAGAGAAAATAACACTTCTATTTTTAGCAGTAAGTCAAGTGAGAGAACACTTAAGAAATTGATTTCCCTTCTGGCTAAAAAATAGAGAGTGTAAGGTGGGGGGAAGCCCATACTTCAGCCATTGTTTCATTGAGCAAAGAACAAATTTGGAAAGCAGTAAAGCAGCAGCTTTTCTATATACTTGATTTTTTGATTCATCCCATGGGGAAAATAATTATTTCTGAAAGGAAAATGT